GGATACTCTAGCGCATATCGTCAGAGTCGGAAACGCACGAATTAACTAAGAATTCGTAAACACAACATATACTCTTCCTACATTATATATACAATTTATATATAATTGTATATAAAATTGTATACAATTATGCAGAATTATATATAATTACATATAAAATATGTCCATTTATATATAAATATATTTAATTATATATAAAATATTTTTTCCCGGAATTACATAATCTTATACAGAATGTCTGAAATAAGATCTATTTGACCCAAAATTCGTTTATTAATTACGTAATTTTTGGTTTAACAATATTTAGGTTTTTGGTAAATAATAATTAAATTCTATTATTAATAATAAAAAAATTTTTTCAATAAAATAAATATGATAAAATTTGTAAAATCTCTGTGTTAGTCTAATAGTTATCTAGGAGCTCTCTGTGTGCGATTTTAAATGAGTGAAGTTTCTTAGATCGTGAAGTGTCCTTCGTGAAAAATTCTTATGAAGGTCGAATATTTGGACAATCGACAGATGTATTAACTAGCAAAATACGAGAAGAAAGGTGAGAGGTGAATTGGTGTACACCCAGTCAAATTTTGGCAGTAGGAGGAACACTATAAAATCCCTGCTGATTTCGACTACCCACGTCAGTCTTCTTCTTCAAACGAGAGTAGATGTACATCGCCTCCACATTCAACATGAAAACAGTGGGTATATATAAGATTCTCTCGAATTATAATTTACAATAAGTCAACTCTTGTTTTTTTGGACAAGCGTATAAAATTTATCGCTAATTAATTTAAAGATTGTGAACATAGCATCAAAATAGATACATCGGAATGCTGTTACACCACTCGCACTACCAGTTATTAATAACTTTTTAATTTAATCACTTTCATCAATAATTGTGAAAAACGGAAACTAAATCAAGTGACAAATCGATTAATAGACGTTCTCTTCCTACAGATCATCGCCCTCTGCGCCCTCGTGGCCATCGCCATCGCAGCACCCCCTCACGATGAGACGGTCATCGTGAAAGAAACACCACTGGATAACATTGGTGTTGATGGATACCAGTATGGTTACGAGCTTTCCAACGGTCAGGCCCATCAAGAGTCTGCCCAGCTGGTGAACGTCGGCCATGAGAACGAGGCTCTCGTCGTCCGCGGTAGCTTCACCTACGTCGACCCGGAGACCAACGTTAGGTACACCGTCAACTACGTCGCTGACGAGAACGGATTCCATCCCGAGGGAGCGCATCTGCCGTCTATCTAAATGTTAATATTAATTACCAGTGAGATACTAAAGTCGATATGAAAAATAGCTAGCTCTGGATAAACTTACCTGATGATCATCAAGTGGGCGTAGTGAGCCCGAAGACAATTGAAGAGTACAGACATTCTCGATCGTTTTAATATAAATACCTGCATATTGGCTTATAATGCAGTAGATATTAAATTCACGATTTATTAATTATATACAAATGCTTCGTGAATGAATATACTGATTTACATAATGATATCGAACGTATTAGCGAAACTGTATTCTTTTCAACAGTCATTACTTGTATGAATGATCGAGTACGAACGATATTGTTTTAAATAAACATTGAATGTGTTATGTTTTCACGTCGCGGATGTATAATGTACATATCTATGTTATAATAAATCGTAAAATTAATATTGTATTGTGAGTTAACATGAAATTCTTAATCGGTCTTTAATAGTACCTTATTGAAAATCGATTATAAATAGCACAAACATGGGTCGATTAATCGTATTTGGACTGCACAGCTATATTTGGAAAAATTCCAGCGACATTGCGATCTCTACAATTTCGTCACAGTGATACGCGCAATTCTACCTTTTGCATTGTAATACAATTCTGCCTTTTGTATTATAGTAGCTTTGTCGATCTTAAATTAATAAGAATTTTATTAAAGATATATGCATAAATATTATTTCCTTCCCTAATTATGATCGTTCTGAGAAACTCAATCAGAAAATTCTGTTGCAACCTTTGATTTTTCTCTTTTTCTTTTTCTCAAAAACGTTTATATATATATATATATATATATATATGAGTTAGTATAATCTTGCTAAATTTAATAGTATAATCTTGCGTAAGGGATTACTTTACAACTTTAACAGTTTAACTTACAATTTTAGTAGTCTATTTTTAGAAATATTGTAAAATTTATGGAATTCTTGAATTTATGTTAATTTCTGCATTACATTAATAATCAAATTCTGCTAAGTGTCTGAATAATTCATACATTTTTTTAATACTTAATATACATATACCAATAAAAAGTAGAATATTAATCAATATATTTGTTAATTAAAAATACGTGTATTAATTAAATATACGTGTAAATTTGTATATTATTATACACATAATTAATCAATATTTAATTGTTATAAATGATTATTAATTATTTATATCTAATTATTTATATTTTTGCACATTTGTTTGATTTGCACATTTATTTGCTTGACATTGTTAAATTAATTAAAGTAGATCGTGTTGTTTGAAATCCCTAAAAATGTTTGCACTTAAAATGAGATAAATATATTAGGTGTTGGAATTAATTCGTAGCGTTTTTTAATGAAAGAATGTTATTTATTTCACATGAGCATTAAAAAATACATTAATGAAAGTACTTCCCATCACTTGTAAAACGCTACGAATTAATTCCAACACCTAATATATTTGGATGTTGAAGAGATCAAAGAATTAAACGAAGCGAGAGATGCTGAATACAAAAAGTGAGCAACGTTAATAAATCTATAATATTTATAATATTTATATTTATAATATTTATAATATTTATAATATTTATAATATTTATAATATTTATAAAAAATGTATGTTGACGTGTAAAAATAACTTAATTAATGACGAGATGATAAGAATAAACTCTTACAGATATGTTACATTATTAGTTAAATGTTAGGGATGTATATTGTAGGTTAATATTGAGTTTACTTGAATTGAATCTATTAATTCAATAAATTATGAATGGGATTAAGTACATACATACCTAAAACGCGGATACATTCATTAATCATTCATTAACCATTCAGGACTTAGGCTTCCCTCTGTTGGGAATATCGGAATCGATCGTGCTGCAATCGTGTTGACTTGACACGTCAAATTGTGTCTTCGTAGTCATCACGTTTTGCCGCGTCCTTGTCGTTAGACAGTAATGACGTTTAATTGTGATTTCTAACATTAGTGTAAAGTGTTTATCTGTGCGGGTGCATAAATACAATCCCGATGATCCCGATCGTTTTACCGTTACGTACAAACGGTACATCGTCGTAGAACATTCGTCGTTCTACGACAGTGTAGAGGTTAGAAATCTGCGTACTCCACATACCGTATACACGTTCGCTCGTATTTGTCGTTTTCTTTTTCTCATTTTTCCGCGGGCACGCGTTCGGCTTGTCATAAGCGAGGAAGGATCAGCTGACCAGGAACGTATCGAGCCTGGGCGATGAGATGATCATTGGCGGTCGTTAAACCTGGTCGATTTGACGGTGCCTGGAGATCGACAATGGCAAAATTCAGGATGTTACCGCGCACGTCGCGTATTGTGGCCCTCTGCTCGGCTGCGAATTTCATAAATGCCGCAGACAGAGTCATTATGCCCATCGCCATCGTGCTGATGACCGATGAGTTTAAGTGGAACCTGTACTGGCAGGGATGGATACTGTCTGCGTTTGCTTTCGGATATTTTACTAGTCAGGTAGATGATTCGTATGATTTGTGTTACCGCTAATGAAAATGCAGCGCTTATAATATGTCATTCTCTCCTTCAAGATTATTGGCGCGAGCACAGCAAGTCGTTTTGGCTGCAAAACTGTACTTATGCTAGCGGTTCTGCTATGGTCCATTAGTACAGTCATCACACCGTTGCTAGCACAGTCGATACCATTACTCATACTCTGTAGGGTGCTTCTAGGACTAGGAGAAGGATTAGGTAAGGATAAAAAAGGAATGGAACATTCGGAGCAGATGTGAGGTCTGTTCTTCTTTGAAAAGTGTTTTGAATTGGTATATATGGTACAATAAGTTGGAGTGAAATAAATTTAGTTATTTCACTCCAACTTATTGTAACCATTACAGTATGTACCAATTCAAAACATTACTATATTTATTTCACTCCAACTTCCATTACACACCTGTAGTTCAAAACATTCTTTGTAAAAGAATAGACTTGAGACCTATTTTTCCTCTTTATCTCTCCAAGTTAGAAAATAATGAACAACGCAAGAAGTTAAGCTAAACAAAAACAGAGGCCTATTCTTTTTACCTATTTATAAACTTCTTACATAGTTTATCTTTCCACTTTTTGTGTAAAGAAAACATTAAGATAAAAAATAAATAATACTGGAAATTAGCTAAAAAAAAAACAGATCTAATGCATTCTGAGATTAGGAGTTAACTTGAGATTATTTGTAGGCCTACCAGTGATATTTCATTTATTCGCACATAATGTTCCTGTGGAAGAAAGATCACGCGCCTTTGGCTATCTAGTAGCTGCTGGTTCTGTTGGCCAAGTGGTCGCATCTGTTGTAAGTCTCATTTTACTCTTAAAATGTGCGTTAAATTTGAAAAAAATTATGTTTTGCAAATCGTACGTCTTTCTATTCGTTAGGTATGTTCCCACTTGGCGTGGCAAACTGGATTTTATTTATTTGGGACAATAGGTATCGTATGGACTGTGTTGTGGCTGATGCTGTATCAGGAAACTAATTCTCAAGATGAGATTCCGTTATTTGTTCCTAAAGTAAACTTCTGTCCGACATTTAATTTACTTTCAATTTTTTTTTCTTTGGTATTAATGTTTTATAATTAATTAACAGGTAGCTCAAAATAGAAGCTTACGTTGGACTGAGTTTATTGCTCATTGGCCCCTGTGGGCTTTGTATATAGCACATTTTGCAATGAATTGGAGTAATTATATAATAATGCAGTGGCTGCCAACTTATTTGGCAAGAAACTTATCTGCGAATACGGAGAGCATTAGTTTGACAGCCCTCCCTTATATCGTTAATTCTCTCATTGGTATTGGTAAGTAATATATATATAATTATATATATTTCGACTTTGTTTTAAATATTTTTTAAAAATATCCTCTTTTTTTCACAGTTGCTGGTCACAGTGCTGACACTTTGATACAAAAAAGATGGTCTGTTTTGTCTGTTAGAAGATTAATGACAAACATAGGCTTAATAGGACCAGGTGCTTTTCTATTAGCTTTCTGTGCTGTAGATAACCTGCTTGCTGCAGTCATGTATGTATAACAACATTGGTCTTATTTTTTCTATTTTTTCTATGTTTGATTTTTCTTTATGAAATTATTATCTTACAGCTTTGTTTCGATATCTATGGGCCTCTGTGCGTGCAATTCAGCTGGACACCTAAGTAATCACGCGGATATAGCTCCGAATCATGCGGGAATTACGTTTGCAGTTTCAAATACAATTGTACGCATTTTTTTATCCAACAATAAGTCACCGATATAATCGCCGTAAAGTTGACTACATTATCTGTGTCGTGTATATCTTAATTTTCAGGCAACAGTACCTGGAATTCTTTGTGGACCATTGACAGCTGAATTAGTAACTGCCTCGCACGGTTGGTGGATGCCAGTTTTCGTGTTAGCGGCAGCGATTAATTTCACCGGGGCTATAATATACCAAAGTCATAGTTCGGCGCTTCCAGTGTTATGATATGCTCTATCTCTCATCCAGCGATTATTTGTTATTGAAAAGAAGGAAGAGGTTGTAAAGTGTTTGTTGAGAACACTGAGATGTTTGCTTTTAGATCATTTTGAATGATTCCCAATGAGGTAGCTACGAACGTTTACCAGAATGTTGGTGTGATGCATTTGGTCATCGTGTATCGGCCAGTCGAAGACATATCATGATGCTTTATTTATAGCTTAAATAAATTTTTATTATCTTTTTGAGGCAACAAAGTGTGATTTTGATAGACAGTGCCATAACTTGATGGAAAGAATGGAATTATTTGAAAAACTAATTGAGAAATGCAAGAACATTTATGAAACTCATCGTACACCTTAATCAATATATGTATTGTATCACTCAAGAATTAGCGGAAAACATTTTGTGATGTTATAATAAAAATTACAATTTTTAGTTATGTGGTTAGGATATAAAATGTATATTCTATAAAATTTAAGAGTGTACATAGAAGAAATTTTAACTTTCACATTTATATATTTTTTAAAATATTTTAACACATGGGAGAGATGATCTGTTCACTTATGTATTGTAAGAATTGGAAAATGAGAACAAGACTTACGAAATGATAAAATTTCAAACAATTTAAAATATAATTTAGTAATGTTTATATATAAAAATAAATATTAATGATATTTCACATACAGCAGATATTATAAAGATAAGTCCACATACAGCAGATATTATAAAGATAAGTCCTTTCTCAAGTATTCCGACTGCAATATTTGCGACAGCGTGTCTCTCGATAAATTTTTGTTTAATCCCATTTTAATGAAGCTGTTATCTTGGAAATTTGTTGCGCTCGAGTGTCTCCGAATATTGAAAGATTTCGTATCGACCGCTTTCGTCGATCGTGTATCATTATATAATTCCGTATTCTCGAGGGACATATCATGAATTCTTCTATTCTCTTGAGTAGTATCGACGGGTATCACTTGTGTTGTGTTAGTTGCAGTATTCGAGTAAGAGCGATATTCATCATCTTCGCTTGCATAATTTTCCGAATCGTAATCATCGCTGTGTCTTTCGAAATTTTCATACAACATATGCGGTCCAATATTATGATTCGCTAGAATATTTTCAATATCCCTTACAGATGGTAGTTTTACAATTCGAGAATATTCTTCCTTTTTCTCTTCGATGCCATATGATGTATGAATATTATCAATGTGATGTTGTAGATACTCCTCGATGGAAGATCTTATCTTCGTTCTTATTTTATTTTCATTTGTAAATTTTGGCTTCATTATATCTGTAACAGCTGTATCTTGTTTCTTATTTAATGCAATTGTATGGATTGATCTTTTATCATCGGGGATGTCGTACTTGTGTGCTTCAGTATGTATAGACTGCTTTTTCGCAGCGTAGTTCGATAGGAAATTCTTATTTAGTTGTTTATCCGTTGAAATATTTTCCACACCTTCATCGAATCGTATCCTTGCCATATCTTTATCAATTGTTTTACTATCTTCGTTTCTCAGAATAGAAAATGTTGATTTAGTTCTCGCTTTTCTGTCAGGAAAGATTAAGTTTCTTATAATTTCAGCTTTTTCCTGTAAACTTGGCTTGCTCGGTTTGAGAACATTATTCGCGCTTTTGTGTAAGTAGCGATTCGCCTTGGGATCCATGTAACTTCTTTGAACTCTGTCTATCTCGCACGTCATCTTCTCTAGTATCTCGTACAGTTTTTTCGTTTGGATATTGTCAATGCGAGCTTTACCCTTCGTCCAATCCTTTTCTTTTTGTGACGCTTGCCACGCAGACTTTATTTTCTCCACTTCGCGATCTATGTCTTGCTCGACTGAGGTATAAACGATCGAAATGTATAATTTTTTTAAATTATAATTTAAATAATATAAAAGGTATTAAAAACAACATTTGAAGAGCGAACGAAGATATTCGATAAAAGCATAGAAATTTACATTCATTGTCAACTTGTGTGTTTAGTATCCTCAGATTCTCCCTACCAAGTATTGGAAGGCAAGTATTTTTCGTTGGAGAAGAATTTGTTACATTCAAATCTGGATCATGTGTCACGAAATTGATATGAGACTTCAATTCCGGTAAGGCAGCAGATGACCTCAGTTTAAAATCTATATAATAAATATACATTAATAAAAAGTGCAGAATATCTTGGAATTAAATATTTTTATCTCTGAATATCCAAATATTTCCATCTGTGGCTATGTTTCAAAATTTACAATACTGAAAATCTACAGTGACATAGACTATAAATTTTCAGTACTGGCAGTAAATTTTGGAATACAACTTATATTTTTACCGATTATGTAAATCTTAAAATGTGTAATAATTTAAAAATTCGAGAACAAAGAGACAATGTTTAATTTAATTAAACTTACTTACCTGTTTTAGAGTGAGGCAACGTTTGCGCAGAATTATTTTTATGCCACAAAATAGTCTGAGATATTGTCGGACGTGATTGTTCAATATGGACAAACGGATTAAATTCATAGATGAAATTGCTTGTCGCCGGAATTCTGTTTATGGAACGTACAGGTAATCTTTTTCCCTGCTTTGTTATATTTTCCGCTATCTGTCTCGAAAAAAAAAATATTCTTATTAATATTTAATCAGCATTAACAAATTTGTAACTACCATTCTTGAAATAAATTAAAAAAGACTATGTATAATGATTCCAAGTAACACAGAATAACATTAAAAAAATCTATTTTAATCTATCATAGACGTCACTGCGTCTTTTAATAAGTTTGTTATTTTTAGTTGAATTTTTTTTTTGCATAGCTTATCTTTCCTCTTTTTCTCTTTAACATGAAAAGAAAAAGAGGAAAGATGAGATTCAATTAAAAAGGAGAGGCCTATTATCACTCTGTTATTTGAGATGCAAATTATATGTATCTTTTGGCGACATATAATTAATTATGGATATCAATGAATTTTTAAATAACAGATAAACGTACAATATCGCGTTTTACTTTAGTTCCTAGGATATCCTTATTTAAGAGTTTTGCTTTAGTTTTATTCAAGGCATTGGCTTGTAATTTCTGATCGCCATCTAATTTATTATAATAAGAATTCAGGTTCTTATTTTGATCGCCGTGCGCTTTTAGATCCCGTGAAAATTGCCGAAATTTCTCGCCATAGATTTTAGCAAAACGCATTCTATATGGATTAAAAAATTTTAGACATATAATTTAAAATCAACGTGTATTATTGTTTGTGCAAGAAGATAGAAATTTTACTTATAAGTATCCATGCAAATGTGTTTCTCTGAGCACAATTTATTTTCATCTTTATCCACACTTTTACGATCAGCCGTTCTTTTAATCTTCTTTTGATGCGATTTTTTGATACTGCAAATTAATTTATGTCATATAATTATTTATATGTTTAAACGCATATGTGATCTCTTTTTCTTACTTTGTTCCGAAGAGAGAAGTTACTTTGTCTTTCGATACGTCCGCATGCAATGCCTTCGTCTGTTCCCGTTCTGTTTTTTCCACGAAAACAGACAGAGCATTAATTCTATTATACTCCTCACAATTTAGTGTCTTGATACGAATAGTATTTAGATTCACGGCGAAAGGGAATAAGACATAATAAGAATACGAAACGAGTTCAAAAGAGTTTTGTTTTAAAAATTGATTGTATCTTTTGAATTTTATTTCTCAAATCGTGTTTCGCGAAACTATATAGTGCGATTTTCAGATAGACAAAAAATGTATATTATTTTTATATGTATATTTTTAGTAAATCTATTAAAAGCCAAGCAACGCTTGGATGAAAATGAGAAAATCGCTGACCGCGTATTACGTGTTGATGCACATTGACGTAACCTTTCCATCCAACTTCATTTATATTTGATTATAAAAAAAATATCAAAATCGATATCCGATTTCATTTAAAAAAACATTGAAATATCATCAATGGAGAGAATTCGGATATACATTCATTCGTTTGAATAGAAAAAAAAAACAAAAGGCTTTGTAGCTTTATTTATCAGTCTTTATTCGTATAACTAATCGACAGATCAAAATATATTTATATTATTTTTAAATATATATATATATATATATATATATCTTATTATTTTATTTATCTACTATACATATAATTATCTTTTAATTAATAATATTAATTGGGATTTATATAAATTGAACTATCTTACACAATTTAAACTAATCTCTCCCTTCTCTTCGCACACTATTATAATCTCTACATCATTTAATTACTAAACCTTTCAATACTTAAAGTAAACATTTTATACTGTAACTTCGAATTAAATTATTGATTTTTAATTATAAAATCTAAGAATTCTATCTAAAAAAATAAATATATAAATTTAATTACTAACCTCTTCTCCACCTCTCCCCTTCCACAATTTTTTATTATCCAAATAACGGATGAAAATGAGAAAATCGCTGACCGCGTATTACGTGTTGATGCACATTGACGTAACCTTTCCATCCAACTTCATTTATATTTGATTATAAAAAAAATATCAAAATCGATATCCGATTTCATTTAAAAAAACATTGAAATATCATCAATGGAGAGAATTCGGATATACATTCATTCGTTTGAATAGAAAAAAAAAACAAAAGGCTTTGTAGCTTTATTTATCAGTCTTTATTCGTATAACTAATCGACAGATCAAAATATATTTATATTATTTTTAAATATATATATATATATATATATGTGTGTAAAGAGATGTTAACGATACAGAGCTATACGCTCGAGCGCCTCGAGCGTTCTCGAAAGTTTATCACTGATATAATTCGAGACACAAAGAAAAAGAATCCTGCGTTTTCTTTTTATCGAATCGGCCATGCATTTTCGAATCGTGGATTGCGTAAAAGCTAAATCAAGTCCAGCTTGATTCTTTTGTGCGGTTTCTTTATTCCGCTGCGTAGGAAAGAGCGCGAGCGTAAGCGATAAACACATTGCACGATATTGCGTATACGATTTTCTATCAAATGTATCCATCTCGTCTTAGAAATCTCTCTTGCAATTAGTCCTCGACACCTCCACGAAAGAGAACGCGCACAATTGTTCAACAAGAGAGATTCGCTCATCCAGATTATTGTACAGAGAATATATACGGATGCATTCGAGTCTACGAGTTTGCGAGCTTCTAAAACGGCGATCACTCGGACACGCGGTGGCGAAAGAAGTAACAAAAAAATATGAAGGAAGAATCAAGCTGACACGGGGAAAATGTAAAGGATTAAAGGCAAAGGATATAGAAAGATAGAGAGAGAAAGAGAGAGAGAGAGAGAGAGAGAGAGAGAGAGAGAGAGAGAGAAAGAAAGAGAGAGAGAGGATATGGACACTATCGGTTCCTTCGCCGTTCTAGCGAAAATTAAGAAATTTCGACAAGGCTCATGATGCCGCAAACAGTGCACATAACTCGACCAGGAATCGATTCTGACCCATTAAAAGTTGCAACGATATTGCGAGGAGTCTCAAAAAATTGTATCAAATATTGTAGAAAATAAATAAGCGCGAGTACACACAAAAAAATATCATTCTATTGTTAAGAAAAGTGAAAGATTAATCATATTTACTTTCTTTTAAGTAACAATTATCTTAAACAAAGAATATTTTCTTGATAATAATCTTAAAATGTATACTTATTACAAATTTAAAAAAAAAATTTATTATGTACTCAAAATAAGAATTTGTTTTCTTTTGAAGAATGTTATAAAATTAATTGAAGAAACGATTTCATGTAATAAGAAAATTGAATGTTTTATACATATAAATTAAAGTAATTTCGATTGAAACGTTAAATTTGGAAATCAGAATATATTTTAAATGATGCTTGTGATGAATTTATGATAGAGTTGCAGATATATAAACTTTGAAATATTCAAAACAAATAATTATTACTTGCATACAGTATGTATTTTTCTGTGTGTAAGTATGTATATTGTGACATTTGAATTGCATATAGAAATAAAAAAAAAACTGAAGTAAAATTGACATAAGCTTTAATAAAAATCTTTATGTTTTTAGGCTTATATGAATAGTCATCAGAATACATCAAAGTACAGTTAATATATATATTTGAAAGCTCTTACGCCACCGCGTATCTACTCTCTCGCTCGACTTGGGATAAAAGAATCCACATTTTCATTTGAATAACTTTCACTCAAAAAAAATAATTAACTTCATATAAAACAGCTCTGTATATTAACGATCGTAGCACCGTTTCCAGCATCTCGGACGTCGCCTCTTTATTTTATGAAACGAGTGAATCGAAAGAATCTCTTCTGCGAAATCTCAACCTCCCGATCTCTTAAAATCGGGAACTATTCCACAAAATTTTTGATTTCTCTTCTAATTTTGTCATCGCAAACATTACTCTTTGTTGATTTTAACAAAAAACTCGACTGTCCTAATTATACGATTTTTCTTGGAATCGCAATGAATAGATGGATGAATACAAAGAAACGATAGGAGGAGAAATTGTTTAGCAGTTTGAAAACCAATTTTGAATTACGAAAATTGGGAGGCCGTAATTGCGCTGAAAATCGATTACAGGCATTTCCTTCGAAATTCACTCCTTTCCTCGTAGACTCTTTAGTCTATAAAATGTAGACGTAATAAATTGATCGTCGATCCTCTCTCCCTTTACGCCTGCACCCGCGAGGTCGCGCGCGTGCCACCAACGCGATCCTCTAGCGAGCAACTATTTTACATCTATTAGCGTCTCCTCCGGATTACTAATTCTGCTGTTTGCCGGCCTCATGAGGCAACACGACGCGCTTGGTGAGATCCGGCGGCGCGTCGTAGCTCTGAGATCCGCGATCGTCGCCGCGGTCCAGGGTCAGCAGGCTCCTTGATGGACTCGGCGAGATCAGGCATTCATGAATGAAGCTGCACACCGTGTTCACGTAGACGTCGCGGTAGGTCGTGTAGTGCTTGACATGCGGTGAATTGGTGAACAGGACGAGCTGCACCCTCACACCCCTCTCGGCCCTCCGACTGGCGAACTTCTCGACGTCCTGATGAAAGACAGAATCTCTCTTGTAACAAGATTCTTCTCATTACATCTAGGATTGTAATAACGATAAGGTACATTCAATTACTAATTTTAAAGGATATTAAAACTTTCAACATTTCGCATTCAACATTTTTTTAAAGCACATTATCCTTATATTTCTATTTTGTTTGTTTATACGAATTATTTTGGCTCGTAAAAAATGTTGAATATCAATTTAACAAAAATTATTTAAATAACGTAATCACGTTACGTTGAATTAACACTCGAATTTATATTAAAAAATTTAACACAAATTTTAACAAATATGTTTTACTGTACAACAGTCACATTGCTGAGTGTAAACATTAATGTTATGTTATTGTTGGTGTTTATATATTGTGGAATTAACATAAAAAAATGGAAACTTACTGACGCTGGGATCAGAGTGTCGCTATTGGAGTAAAGGAACAGCTGAGGCCAAGAATATGCTTCCTCCGCGAGGGCGATCGGGTTCGTCGGAATAGGCGTTCTGCTGAAAGCCTGCGCAATTACCTGACGATCATAAATCGACATATAAACTGTACAGCGTCGGTACAGCTCTGAAATGATCCGATCTATGGACATGATATGGTACGCCGCCCTGACAAACATACGTTTGCGATGAGATCGTGTCGGACGTGTTCGGAAATTAATGAAGATTACGATCGTTTCATGCTGGCTTAATGTTCATTGAGACAATGAGAATCGTGGAGTGTCAACATGTTGTTCGTTTACCTCGAAGAACCAGAGTACGGAGAGGAAGAACGTGATGACGAATGACATCGGCAGGTTTGTGAGGGGATTACCACCGATAATCGCGCTGATTGCCTTGAAAAGTGCCGTCAGTCTCCTCTCACCGGGTGCGCTGTCGAATATCACTCCTCTGATCTGAAATTCCAGTCAGAAATTCTTGTACATGTCGACAGCAAAAATAAAATAATATTATAGGATGATTATTCTGTACACATTCTCTATCTTCTTTATTTTAAATGCTTTATAATTTATGTCTGGAACATAAAATGTATACGGAGAGAATTTTTTCTTTATCCTGAAAATATGGGACAATATTAGGGAGTTTTTGCAATAACGTGGATCCAGATATGATGAACGCTAAAGTCACGTTATTCTTTTCTTAATTAGGAGTTAAGAAGAAGATAACATGACCGCATCTGGATAAACGGTATTGCATTTCGAAGAATTTTACGTAAATTTTTCTCATGCATTAATAAAACTATAATAAAATATAAAATAAATTTGATTAATTTTACTGAAGTGCAGCAAAAATCTTTAAAATATTGTATTGTACCACAATTACCACTACCATATTTTCAGGGTGAATTTTAAAAAATAATTCTCTCCGTGTAGAATACATAATTTTACACGACATACATTTTTGCATGTGTGATTGCATTTTAAAGTATACTTTGTGTTAATATTTTTAATTCTTTAATTCTTTTTTTTTCGTATTACACAATCCAGCAAGCTTCAATTAATAAAATAACATAACTATTAGTTACAAGTTTCCTACTCAACAATATAACTGTTTATAAAATATAATTTATAATATAATTTATATAACTTATAACAAGTGTTATATTACAATTTGTCGAGTGAAATTATAACTAACAGTTATATTACTGTTAGTTGTTAGGTACTTTCTGGGTTGTGTAATGAGAGAAATAATAGAGGAATCGGAATACAAGTATGTGTAAAATATACATCGTGAAATACATTAATACATACAGCATACATTAAAATCATGACACATAAAATTGTAAGTAGAAATAAATGTAAAATTTTTAGAAAAGAGAATCTAACGCAAGTTACAATACATAACGATCTTGTGTGTGATTCCAAATTTAGTTCAATTAAAATTCAAAATAGACTTTTATAATTTTATACATTTAAAACATGAAAAACATTTAAAGAACTAAAAACACCTCTATATATAAAATATATTAAGTATAATTCTACACAGTATAATTATACTTAATGTAATAATTATACTAAATATAATTATGTACGGCATACTGTTATAGTTCTGACACGAATTGCAGATTGTCCAGCGGACTTGACGTAAAGAGATTTTCGTCGCTACGAGGCATCTACCTTGAACGGAGTATTAGCCCTCTGCATCGCGAGGCTGATGTGCTGATACAGGAAAGCGCCGCCGTTGCTGAAGACGTGAAAGAATATGGGGTGCTCGTCCAGCCGCTCGTCGGTGATCACCTGCAGCAATCGCTTGCCGATGTAAGGCATCTTGTCCCGGCGCCAGAACAGGTATTCCACTGGCGCTGTGTAACGCAGCGTGATGCAACTATATATGAGAATGCAACACGAAAATTAATTATTATTAGGAGATTAATTGTATTTCGAGCGGCGTTGAACAACATCGGTCGCTCTTTGCGATCGAATTAATCTATTTGACACGAGCGTATCTGATGCGTCATGTTGTACTCACAAAAATGGAGTATTTCCGGTTCTACATTATGGTTGCATTTTCGATTTCAAGTATCCTCTGTCTTCGCATTACGCGAGACATAGCGTTAGAAATAAAATCCTGCTTCGAATTCTATCACGTATAAATCGTCCGAAGTGGGATCGCGTTGAAGAACTTTGTTGCGATACGACAAGTCGAGACGACTCCGTTCTTTCGCAAAATCGTTCCCACGGATTCTACGCCATTTATGAAATGCGCACCCGGTACGCACGCGATTACTTGGAGAACTATTAGAATTAGGTATAGTTTTTTCAACACAAGGATTTTCGATCTCCTAAACTAAATGCGTATCAGCTCGATCATATCGTGGTATCAGCGTGTATTGAATTACGCGATATATTGGTAGTCTAGAATACCTCTTATCCTCGTAGATCGAGCTGTATTTAGCCAAGTATCGGTCTTGACAGCCGGCCCATCCTAGCAGGATCACAACCGGCCGCTTGTCCTCCTCGTACACGAACACGAACTCCTCCCGTTGATTCTGTCCACCTGCGGTCAACGTCTGGTCCTTCGGGGACGGCGGAAACGACGGGAACATGATGTAATAATCCAGATCCTCCTGCTCGCTCATCTCGTCCGATCGTCGTGCCTCCTGTTCACGAGGACGAAAGGGGGAGAGGGGACAGAGACAGAGGAAGAGAGAGAGAGAGAGAGAGAGAAAGAGAGAGAGGAAGCAGTCGGGGGTGAGGTAATACGCCGGGCATGAACTAGCTTCGCCGGGAGGGTGACTTCTACTCGGCTTGAACTCGAGTTTGCGTCGTTCGAAACGCGCGAACTCGCTCAGGGATCGATATCCGAGGGAGTTACAGGAGCTAGGTCGAGGATGACGGCGCATGTGGACGTCCAGTTGCTCGTATGCACATGCAGAAGTGCATACGCAAGAGCGCGGGACCATCATCCCGAATTTGCGAGGGAAAAACGTTTATTACTTTTTAATACATTGTTTGCATATCGAAAAATAAAAATAACGCAATTTGTATATTTATTCGGAAAAATCACGCAAATAAAATAATCACGTAAATAAATAGAAGAAATTAGCGAATTGGGAAATGGGGAATAAAAGATGGATTTAATAAAGTCAACAGTTTTGAGACTTTAAGAACGCAATCGAGCCTGCGATTTTCCACACGTATAATTATCCGATCATCTTTTTAAATTAATTAATAACTTATCAGTGAGAGTGAAAATTACAAAAAATGTGCGAATTTTTGAGAATATTTAAAATTTCATTAGTCTGTTAACACTTAACAATTTTAGAATTGGAAAGAAATGAAGAATAAGTTGAACTTCGGTTAAGAGTTAACTGTGAGTTGTGGAACTGGGCCTTACTGAATCTATTCATTTCTACAATTTTTATTAAGTTATGTGATACTTCTCGAACCAATCGAACCCTAGAATTTAAACGAACATTCCCGCTCATTTGAAAGATCAAAAGGTAGGAATCTGTAAATAACGTTCCGATGGTAAGAGCCCACTCTTGCCACTTTCCAATTCTCCGCGATCTCTTCTGATCTCAAGCGAGTGGCGCCAACTGCGGATAGCACGCGAGGCCGTAGAACAGGTTGCCGTCAAGCAGGCGCTTCGCTGGACCGTTCGCAGCATCCGGGAGCTGCGCGCGAGTCTCGTAACGCGCGGGACCAAATTGAAGGGAGCGAGAGAGAGAAAGAGAAAGAGAGAGGGAGGAGAGAGGAAGCGCGTTTCGAAACTCGAAATCTAAAGAGAAGCACTCAGAGCCACGCGAGCGGCCGCGCGATACGGTACAAGTATTCGGATGCCGGTGTGAACGACGTCACGTTATGTGCATTGAAAAACGTGCGAGCCACGCGAGGCTCGCTTGTGCCGTCTTGTTTCTCGTGGCGATTACTCTACCGTTCGGTGAGTGCATTTTCATATTTTTTTTTTTTTTTATTTCAGACCTATGAAAAATACTCCGATTTTTCTATTTGTGAAGAAATATTTCTTGAATATATTATTCGTTATATTATTAATTCTTTTAATTTATTTATGCGATTTAGTATACAATAACATAACATATTTATATAATGCACGTGTAACCGATATTTCATGTTTATTGAATAAGCTTTGTTCAATATTTTATAACGTTGTTGATTTAGTTGCAAATAAAATTCGTGCGGTAAACAGGTATTCAATTGAGTAACTTTTAATTACATACATATATAAATTTATATTAATTAAATATTTTTAGCTTATATATTGAATTAAATTATTAATTTTAATCGGTTTTAGTGATAATTAGTTAAATTGTTATTATGTAAATTACTTAAATTACTATAAATTACGTTAATTGAGAACATATTATATTCATATGTAATCATAATTACATATACATTAATTATACATATAGATTGATTATGTTACTCAATAAACACAGCTTTTTGAAGGATTAGTTGTATATATATAAAATTAATACAATAGTGATCGATTACGTCGTCTAGTTTTTTACAAATGGTAATCAATTCAACGATCAATCTTCGAAGCGCGCAAGATGATTCAATCTTGAGCACGTCAGCCTGTGTCTGCGTTTTAATTTATATGGCGCGCTTGAAGAAGGGAATAAAAAAAAAGAGAAGGATGTCCACGTCCGCGTCCGAGATAAAGCTTAAAAACCGAGACGAGACGTTTACCTCGTATTTTAAGAAGAGATGGGGCCATGAATAAAGAACGTTTAAGAGACCGTGATAATATGTAAATTTTGTCTCATAGTTTTTAAAAACCGCGTTACAAACGCGGTTCTCGTCCGAAATTAGCCAACTGAGAATCCGCTTCTAATTACTTCACTTCGCCGCGTACATTATCTTGTAGAAAACACGCAAGAATTATCATTTAATTAGATTTTATCTGTTAATCGGAAACCGTCGTGCGGAGCAGTGGTACAAGTCAGTAATAAATCGTACGTTCTAAGAACACGACGAATTATTTTGGCGTAAGGCAAGACTCTCGAGATCTCTTCTACAAAGATTCCCTCGTCTGTGACGGGACGGAGAAAAACGACGTAATGGAGCGGCTATCTTACATTAAATCCTCTTGTACTTTCATTCCTTAAAGCGCGAAGAATACGCCACCCATACGACGTCTCCTCCACCTGCGACGCAGCGGAATGGAGAAGAACGGTGTAATAGAGCGGCTATCTCACATTAAATCCTTTCGTACTTTCATTCCTTAAAGCACGAAAAATATGCCCCCCCTTATACCACACCTCTTCCATCCGATGGCTCATATCTTAAAAGTGAAAAATAGTCCACTACATCTCCGGGGGAAATTTCGTCGTCGCGCGACGGCAGAAACTCCATTCCAACCACCAGGGTTTTCACCTTTACGAAGCGCGAGCGACTTGAAGCGCGGTCTGTTAATTTTCACAATGCATTGTGGACCGCGCAGTCACAATGAAATGCCAGTCCCCGGCATCTTTCTATAGCGTGATGTAATTAGTTTTGTCGCTGGACGCGTATTAGCAGATTTACGAATTAACATTAAGTGGATTCTCTCTCTCTCTCTCTCCCTCTCTCTCTCTCTCTCTTCATCTTTCTCCGCCTCTCTATGTATATGATCCACTTAAACAATGAAAAAACAATGAGCGCCGGGCAATCTAACTTCGCCACTTAACTCGTTTACGATTTATGCGGTTGTTCGCGCGGTTGGTACATTCGCACGTAATTACGTCGTTGCATATTCTCCGTGCAGAACAGGATTAACAAAATGGCGCAAGATTTACAGGGGATGAAACGCATGCATACTGTTTCTACAGTACTTTTTACTCATTTTAGTGCGCTCCACTTATGGCTTAAATGGAGTAATATCGTCCATAAATATCGCAGCGACGACGTTACATAAAATTTCAAAATGCATTTTTGAGAGAAAGATCTAAATATTCGGAGTGTAGTTGAAACATAATATCTGTGCATCTTTTCCATTGTTTCTAAATATTTGTATAACCGCTATATACAATCGATCGTTTAATTAAAATCACGGTAATCGCGTAAATACGAAGAAATAGAGAATACACATAAGATTCTTCTTCATATAATCATTCTTATTATATTAATAAACTCTTGCGCAAAACCTATAATTCACAATTATGACGTAATATAATCTTCTCGTAATCGGTTTTTCCTATATTCGTCTCTGTAGACAGCCGTCAAACACTTAATGAATTATTCAGCCGAAGGGATGAGCTTAGTGCATAATGTGAAATAATTATAGAAAACGGGTTCCGTCGTTTTTCATCGATCGTAGGGAATATTCTTTGGAGGGATTATTTATCCTTTTATGAGACAGAGAGGGAGAGAAAGGGAGAGAGGAAAGGTCCCATTGGTCGAGCTCCGGCGCCCCGGAAATTCATTTCGTTCGATTGGCGATGCAACATTACCGGAGGTAATCTCGTCGTCCCCAGTGTCGTGTGTCGTGAGCGAAAATTGACAAGGGATTAACGATGAGGCCACGCTCCGCGCATCAGCTGCGATGGAGAGAAATTCTCTCGTGATGTTCGAGCTTATTGCAGGTGAACGATAAGCGGTTTGCCAGGGAAACCTCCCCCGAGTACCTGGGAAACTCTCACCGAGAGAGTAGGCGCAGTTTCCCAAAGTCCCATTGCACGTTACACCGAGTTATTGAAAGCGCGCGTCGCGATTATACGTCTCGATTTGGAAATTATTCCCAGCCGTTCACCATTTCCTTGCGTTTCCGGATCGCAATCAAAAATTGATCGTCGTACATACGAAATTCAGATTTCGCTTCGCGATGAGGGAAACCCGGAGGATCTTTCCCAGGACGCGTTCGGGCTTCGCACCCGCCCCGAGGGCTTGCGGACCGGGGTTGCCTCTTGCGAAAACTCGATGTAACTTTAAAGGTGATGACCCGTGAATATTACAGATGCGAAATGTTGCGCTGGGATATCGCGTACACGTGAGTAAGCGTGCAGCAAATGAAAAATTGCCGGTGCGCGCACCGTACCGCCGAAACGTACTCATTTATTCACGCTCATGCGCCGGCATAATGTGTCATACATTATGTTATTCTTGTCGAGGCAATGTGAAAATAAATGTGAAACATTCAAGCGTCCCGATTGCTGATTTAGGCGACGCACCCCATTAAAGATTTAAAACAGCTTTCCCTAAAACCGCTCTGTATTTGTAGTAAATGGTATATAAATGTAAATCCACATAAATGGGGAATATAACTGGCTACACGATTCTGGATGCATTTGCGTTGGTCAATCAAAATGATAAAAATCAGAAAGAGCGGTGCGATTTACATTCAGTGGAATATATTATAACAACGTCGTTTACCACTGATTGAATTTAATTAAACTTTCGCGACAGAATCACCACTCTGGTGGTCGCGATATTACGATGGTCGGTGGTATTACGATAGAGAAACGAACGAATTACTCTCTGCTGCCTAAGGCGAAGCTTAGCTGCTCGCTCTAATTGTTTCTAAAGTTGGAACAGTTTCTCTTTATTCCGCTTTTGTCATGTGTGTTTTCTGTTCCTACTTCCCTGATAGTAGACTGAAAAACAATTGGTTTATAAATAAGCCTTTATAATTCTCGATGTATTATTTGTGTTGGTCAATCAAAATGATAAATCGGAAAGAGCGGCGTGATTTACTTGTGCTCGTGCAATACGAAAAAACGTTATTTAAATAAAAAAAATACGTATAATTTTAATTTAATAATATTATTATATTGTAAATTCAATTTCAATATAAATATAAATTATATACAAACTTGATTATAAAGTATGTATATATTTATATTTATTATATATTTAGATACAGACACAAAATATTAAGAGTGAGTTCTCTCTCTGCGGGATAATACCTCCTTTGGAGGTACTTCTTGCACGAATACTTGCATTCATTAATGTTTTCAGATACAACGGTAACAACGGAGAAAGTCGATTATCGCTGGATTATACCAATTGCCACTTGATATCGCTTAGATTAGACTCAAGGATGCCTCTCTCGACGGGTTTTCTTCGACAATGGCGAAGGAAAATGCGGCCGGTACCGCCTCTTCTCTGAATCGAGAACCTCATAAAAGTTTCGAGTATAATCTACCGTGAAACTTTTCGGGGCACATCTCATAGATTCCCTTCGTTAGCGCGCTGAAGTCCGTATTATAGCTCGCGAATGGAAAAATTGCAGGTTCAATGCGAGGAAAGTTCACGTTTCTAAAATGAATAGACAAAATGTTATCACTAAAAATTACTTCTCGACGTGCGCTACTTCCGAAGGAGATTTGCAAAAGATCCTTTACATTCAGCGCCGCCAGTTGCATTCTTGAACGGTAGAAAAATTTGTAAGACGTCTAAAGAACGTCCTTCGAGAAATTAAGATATTTCTCGCCCGCCCTTTAGAGATCGCCCAGCCATCCTTCTGCTTCCTCCTTCCTCCATTCATTCCCATCAACTCGATTTTATCGCCATCTTCGCGCATTAAAGAATTTCCATATCGACGAGCGGATAGTACGCTCGACAGAGTGAAATGACGGGCGGGGACCGATGACTTCCGGGGTTCCGTGTGGTAGTTTCATTGTAGTAGCAGTCCAAGTTTCGACCCAACTCGTGGCACAAGTGTGCGCGAGGTTCCGACAAACTTCACAATAGAACTTCCGCATTTTCGCCTCGCTGACTGCATCGCCCGCGGAGATGCAGTCGTAAGAAGAGCGTGTCTTCACACGGGTCATCTCACTCTTATTTTTCTGCAATCGAGGGGTTGCGTTCCATTTGGCGATCATAACGCTCGCGAGCGTTATTTGTTCCTTGTTTAATATTTCACAAACGACAAGGATAAGATGATTACATGAGCGTTGCGAGCATCAAGTGGAACGCAACCCAAAGTTGGCTCTTAAGATCGAATCCCCTCGTGTTTACAGGACTCTGCCAAAATGCACGTGGGACGTCCGGGGATAGGATGGCCTCGAATCGTTCCGGTGACGGGTCGCACACTCTGGGAATCCGTCGACAGTATAGGTAAAGTATCGCCGCGATCTCCCTCGAGCTGTAAAATCTGCCGCTTGCTCGCCGACTTTTCTTCCGGATGTAACGCGATGCAGGGAACGCGAGAAACGAGACTCTTCACGAGACTCCAGCGATGCTCTCGCTTCACAATGACGTATGCTTTGTCGTATAAATCTGCGTATCCGGTCGGATATCACAAGGGAAGTCTTTAATAGAATTACGCTGTAATTATAGCTCGGAATTACAAAGGTCTATCAGAACGGTAGCGTCAAAGAAGCGCTTTCGAAATACCACCAACTGGTCGACGATTAATCCTGTAATGTTAAAGAAGGAATATTCACGGATAGAATGATTTTGCTTGTAATATCTAAAAATTTATAATAGATACAGATTTAAAAATAATTTTGTTGGACTATCGAAATAATTATGTCGGATGTCCAAATTGGTTGATATAATTAAGCAAAAATCGTTCTGTATAGGAAAAGATTCAATTGCTGATGGTACATTCGTTTAAATATGCTTTACATGTGCAACTTGTATTTACGTCTATACTACATTTTTATAAATGTATTCGACATCCTCTTATTATTTTCCTTTTCTTAAACAAGCAAGTTACATACAAATCGACAGAAATATAAAAATATTTTCTCTTGAAACAAAGTCTAACAGGGTTTAAATGGTCTTTTAGAGTCTGGAGACAGTGAAATTGCGCGATATGGTTCCTCTTTGTTCTCTCGATAATTTATTTAGTAGACTGAACAGCGTCTCTTAGATCCCCTGTTTTTTGCGAGAGCAAAGATGGTTAGAGCTGTTGTTATCCGCCAGCGGGGACGCATCTTTTGAGGGAATGGAGACTCTCAAGGAAAACAGAAGGACGCTCTCGTCGCGAGGCGTTATCAAGGAGCCAGAGAAGACGGAAGCGGAAGCGAAAGCAGAGGCCCGCGGCGATGAACGTGGGGACAAACATCTCCTTTTGTCAGAAAATGGTGCGAAAATTCTGCCTCGGCGAAACGTAAATGTCAGTGAGTAAAATTGTCTCTTCCTAATGTTAACGGGAAACGTATATTCTGGCTAAATCAGTCCGTGGCAAGGCGAAAATACTCGCGGAGCAAGACATAACATTCGTTTCTAAGCGAATTTACATTCCGAAAATTTTTCATGTCGACGTAAACACGTATATTATCTCCGTATTTTGTGTGAAACTTGAATGGAAAGAGTTTTCTCAATCATTAATGTACCTCCATTTAATTTATGAATCGACATATCCTTGATGATCTACCTTCGCTATTTGTTCAACAGCAACCTTGAGCAAGCAACAAGAGGGCAACTTCGGCAGTCGGACGCGCAAAAAGCGCCGTAGGGGCAAGGAGGAGTCGGGAGGTTCCGATGTTAAGGACCGCCTGCACGAGATCACCGAGGACAGTCGAGAGAACGAGATAATGGGCAAGCGGGATCGATCGCCGCGAAAAAGGAGCGATCCTTTCTCAAAGTTGCGGCCGAAGAATCGGGAGGCGCGAAAGTCTCGTGCGGAACGGCGAAGGCGGAAAAAGGACAGGAAGGAGCGAAATAGAGGAAGCGGGAAGGATACGCGGCGGAATGACAGACGACAGGATGTCGCGCGACGAAAGCGCAAGAGGAAGACGCACGATGGCGGTCTAAGTGGACGTGTTCTCGATAAACTCGACCTCGCCGGGACCAACACGTCCGAGACGACGATAGAAAATTCGTCCAGTTTCACCCCCGATCGCGCCTCGTTGACAGAGGCCATCGTCACGACGACGTCGTCGAGTCTTCAACGTCATCCAACTCTCGAGACGACGAGAAGACTGACGAGAACGACGCCACGTCGTGGCGTTTACGCAGCCGACACGGTGGAGAGGGAATTCTCCAAGCAGCTCGAGATGGAGATCTCCAAGTCTGCCTTGAAGGACTCCTCAATTCTGGATGATGGTATTTTCGATACCCCTCCGAAGAAATCGACTGTACGGAATGCAGCAGCAAAGGAAGTCAACGGGAAAAGCGTGAATCAGGATGCTGTCGCTTCGTTGGAGGGCAAAATTGATTTCAAGAGCTCACATTACGACGCCGAGAGGATGCTGGGCTACTCGAGGACCGAGGAGGATCTACCGATTCTGGATCTGGAGAACGAGGTACTGGAGAGGACCCTGAAGGACTACAACGCTTACATGACGTCGCGGCTGAAGCCGTTGTCGTTGCCGCGTTACGACGAGCTGCCGATCCGTCGCAATTCCGGCACTCATCCGCCGAGGAAGCCGATAATTAATTCCGAGGAGAGCGTCGAGGAGATCGGCGACGGAAACACGGAAGTCACAGACGTAACGGGAGCGATGCAGGACGACAGCAGCATGAAAGGGGACTTAACTTGCATAAACGGGACGTTCCTACCGGCGCCTTTATCTCGTCACGCGCTGATCAAATATGTAAAGTAAGTGCTCTCCTTCTATCATCCATAATTCAATGCTCGGTATCCGATGTCAACGATTTATACACGGGAAAAAATAGATTGGGTGATTCAGCAAAGCTATAGGTTGCTGGACGAGTTTAACATCTATAACTAAGAAGATTCGATGATTCAATAAAGAAATTATGTCTGTAAACAGTTATGAGTATGCTAATTCAGCTAATTCTTTGTTACGATAAAAACTGCTAATATAACAAGTTTTCTTTAGCAACAAAAATACGCGTCATCTTGGTTAGCATAGTTTGTTAAAAATTTTGATCTATATATTGAATTGGTTTTCATAGAAAATTATCTTCGCTGTATTAATAAATTTGTTGTGTTATTACAATACATTTTACTTATAATCGCTAATTTTATTCAACTGTATGACTTGTTATTTTAACAGAAAACGAGCTGCCCGTATATTACGGCTGTAAATTTGCTGAATCAGTGAAGTTTTTTTGTTATTTTAATCATGTTTTTCCGTGCACGAATTTAATATAAGACATGCATGAAATCTCTCGGAGCGATTGACGTTAATTTTAATCTCAAGTTTTCCGTTTTCAAATTAATTTCTCTTTAACTAAAATATCAATCAAACAAATGTATTTTAATCATTAATTTCAATGAAATTGATTGGTTTCTATTTGATTAAGGTGCCAATAAACTCAAAATAATTTGTATCTTATCTAATTAATATTGTAAATATCTAATATTGAAAATCAACGAGGATTTACACACAGATGAAGATAAATTCATTTGAATTTGAAAATCACGGCAAATCCTTTCCCCGCGACGAGCTTTCACATTAAAGTCAAAATATATATCCCAATTGCCATTTAGCGTTAATACCAGAGTCTTCCTGAGAAAATAGAATTTTATCGCAAAAATAACTGGCTGCGTTGACGTCACAATTATAAAGGTCCTCGACCCCGGGCCACGAGTATTTGGAAGCCGATTACGAGTGTGTGCCAGGCTACGGTATGGTATCCTCGGCGAGCCGATTAGTCTGCAGAAATCGTCAGTGGGTCGGACAGGTGCCAAAGTGCGAGATCAAGCAAAACCCGAATAGGATGTGCGCCGAGGTATCCTGCGAGCACGTTTGCAACGAAATTAACGGGCGTCCCGTCTGTTCCTGCTACGAGGGATTCAGATTGGACGGCCGCAAATGCGTCGGTGAGCACGATTTCCCCGTGCGAGTAATTATCATTAATGGACGCAATTTTTGGAGATTTTCATGCGCCAACTTTGTCCACGTAGGCCAAAACTTTTTACAAGTTTTTATTTCCGTCCGTCCTCTTTGACTTTACATATTTATGTATTTTAGATACTTTTACTTTTAGATTAGTTTCCATTCGGAATCTTTATCTCAATATTTTATTTTCTTTACGTAAACGTTCATCTGTTTATCGCAATTAAAGTAATCCCAGAGTGGTAATTACATCTTACTCAAACTTCGAAGTATCTTATGAAGTCAATTAAGTATGCCTTTGCGAGTAAATCACGCGGTTAGCGGCGGATGAAATTCGCGATGTTTCTTGTTTAGATATCAACGAGTGTTTACTGAACAACGGTCATGGTCCCTGTCAGGACACCTGTCGAAATCTCATGGGAGGATATGAATGCTCCTGCGAGAATTTGCAAGACGCGTCGCTAACTGCCGACAATCACACGTGCGAACATAACAAGCACACTGGTCCATGCAGTGTTAACAACGCTGGATGCTCTCACACGTGTCTGTCCACGATGGGTCGGGTGTTTTGCCTTTGCCCCGACGGCTTCATGCTCGAGGACGACTGGAAGACTTGTCAAGGTAATTGGACGCCGGTGAACGCTCGATTAAGAGACTTCGTTCTTGTATACAATTCACCTTTGCTTCCTTTTTTTACTTATGCTTTGACATTAATTCAAGATCGTAAATCTGCGAGACGCTGCTGGTCGACGTGATATTTTATGGATGATTATATTGCAAGTCTAAGTGTGTAAAAAGTGACTTCAGTATATGTGTTGGTTTTCCGTGTACAAACAACATACGAGAGATCAAATATAAACGAGAATTTTTTTTTATTTATTGGACGAGAATAAAAATATAAAGAAAACAAATTATTTTTCTACATTGTTCCTTGCTACATCAATACATTTTTATCAGCGATTTTAGGCAGTTTAGCGATCCTGTTTTTATAAAAAGTAATAGGTTGTGTTTGCAACTAATTGCGCACGAATATACTGTCATCTTTATACTGGCATCGTCCTCTGGCATCGAATCCTCCCAATCCTTTTAGCGGCTCAAATAAATAATGATAATCGCGTTGAGATAAATCTTTCCATACGATTATCATTTGGACTATTGAAAGAAGAGTAGGATAATACGATTCATGGACGATACCAGTAGAGAGGAATTCTTGCGCAATTAGTTACAGACGCAACCTACTATTTTTTAAAAACGAGATCGCCACTGCTTATTCGCTGGCAAAAATATATTAATGTAGCAGGGTACTATGTAGAAAAATAATTTGTTTTTTTTACATTTTTATTCTCGTCCAATAAATAATAAAAAAAAAATTCTCGTTTATATTTGATCCACTCTCGTATTATACTCTATATAAAAATGGATTTATATATTTAAAGTGTAATGCAATTTTTATACAGAAAATTTAATTACACTATATTGAAGTCATTTTTTTATGGACTTTCTATAATAGGCTTAGTACAATAATAGATGTCAAGGAGCAAGTTATAAGTGAGTCAATATACTGAAAAAAGATTTACTAAATCTCAATATATATTTCTTTGAATAATAGTAACAAGTAAATATTGCTTATAATAATTTATTGCTTATAATAAACAAATATTTATTTGGTACAGAAATTGTAGTTAAATAAAATTAATGGTTTTTGCATTAAATAATAGATAACATTATGACTAATCAATCATATAGTAAATATAGTGTACTATTATTTAATTTGAAAACTATCATCTTTCTAATTGACTAAAATATTGTGAAGTAACAGTCTAATATGATTTATTCTGACAAGTTTCCTAAGATTTATGATTCTAACTTTCCATTGTGATATGAGTGATGAATAACGGTTTATAGAAAATCCATTATATGCTTGGATTTGCAGTGTAATAATAACGATAATTTCGATCACTCGCATTACACTGAATTAGTATATATTGAAGACTGCTTTGTATAAAATATCCAAATATGTGACAATATATATTAATAATTAACCTTGATAAATTAATAGATCTATTTTAAATAAAACATGATAATACGTATCATTCTTGAATATTTGACCGTTTAAAATCTTTATAAAGGTATGACTTAGAGATTTAATTTTGCTAATTTTATATAGCAGCTTTCAATCTGTACTAATCTAGTGTAATAAAAGTGACAGAATTCGCTCAATAATTCAATGGAATTTTTGCAATGACTCTCAATCGCGGTAAAACGCACTTAGTCCAGATTTTACGCGCAAGCATTCGCGGGATATCGCTTGGTACGACACTTTCGTAGCAGGGAACAGCAGGGAAACGTATTGGGAGACGTTTGACAAATGACGATCATTTCCCGTAGACGTGGACGAATGCTCGGTGCCGGATCTTCAGACGGAGCTGTGTCGCTACGGGTGCATTAACACTCCGGGCTCCTATCGATGCGCAGAACCTATGGAGCTGAAGGATCAACCGGTCCTGGACAGCCTGTCCATCACTTGCCTGCCGGGTTACGAGCAGACCTCCCACGGGTGCATCGGTGAGTCGGATAATGGAAAATTTCCGATTTTCATCCTCAAGAATAGGGGAAAGTTTATCTCGCCGGCGTGTTAATTTATGCGTTAGATTAACTGCCGCAATAACGCGATAAAAAATAAATTCTGTTCGATAGTCGAGGCGTTGAGAGATAATTTTCATATTAACCCTCCGTAATCTAACGTTTTTTTTTTTTTGCTAGTCCAGCCGGGTCAATAATGCTTGATTGTGTTTTTTAAAGAGTTTTTGGACTCGAAAAAAATCTGAAAAAATTCTGATACACTCTTTTAACACTAAAGAATAAAATTCTACAATATATAATCCGAAACGTTTTTTCACTTTTTTTGTGCGCCGAATTTGAAGCAGATTATTCAGAATTTGCCTGAATTTTTTAGTCTCGATTGATTCATGGAGAATTAATTTTTAAAAAGTGATTAATAACGATGATAAATCTTTAATAATTTTACGAATATTCCCTGCGTCTCGCTTTTGTTAAAAACCACTTGGAAAATGTGGAAACGAGATTTTGACATTAATTTCAATGGGACTCGTGTCTGACTGCATCTCGAGTTTATTGTTAGACGACGCAGGTACGCGCACGAATTATAACAGTGCGGATGAATCCACTTTGCGTCTGTTAGGACGGCTGCTTAAGTCAGGAGTTAAGCTAATAAGTTCTCGTTAATAAGTCAGAAGCATCGTGTTACCGTTAGGAATGGAGGTGTGATCTTCCGCGACGTGTACACGAGAACTTTGTCAGAAACGCCATTACCCTATATGCCTAAGTTTCGCACGTGCGTTATTATTTCGTCGAAATAATTTATCAGCCACACGTAGAGTCCTTCAATTTTTTTTTTGTCATATCTCCCTTATTACATCCTGTATTTTTTCACTTCTCAGTTTTCACCCACCAGAATTGCGAATCCCTCTCGAGCTCAACGATTGACACCATTCCTCGTGATGGTTTTTTTTTTACTGTGGCCGCGGTATTTCGTTTAGCGGAAAGCTCACGTTTAAGTTCCTTCGATCGCAACATCCTGGACAATTCTCTCGTACGTTCCCTTCGACGAAAGCACGCAGCAGCTTCAGTATTTTCTCGAGGAAATCCGAGTTGGCTCTCACTCCTTTTTCCGCAAGACGGCGAACGAAGTACCTCGTCGAATTGTAACCCCACAACCCCACAAGGACGATACCTATATCACCATCAGTTGCTTTTGGATAAAGAGAAACAGAAAGAGAGAGAGAGAGAGAGAGAGAGAGAGTCTTTTTTTTTCCGCCAATCGTGCATTCCTCGGGAGAGTAACCTTCTTAGGAGTCCCGCGAGTTTCTCTCCCAATACCTTCGAATATCTCTGAGCGGCTCGCACAAAATGCAGTCCCCGCTGCAATCCGTTTTGCCGACGCGCACAAGCGCGATCGGAAAAACGCGGTGCTTTTATCGGCATTTTATACAAAATACGCTTCTGTGAGTTCCTCATACTCGCACGTACATATTTTTGTCGCGATAATTTGATGCGAAAACTCTCGTATGCGTTCGAGATTTTTGTAATGACGGACACTCGTAAAATAAAAGTATTTGATTAATTGATGTCTAGAGGAGGCGTATTCAAATCTTTGCGTAATACATTCTTAGGATGTGTCGTCCAGTATTTTTTTCTTAAGATAGATAATCGTTCGATTGATTTACGGCGCAGATACGTGCCGAGTATGTTTCTCTAATTTCGCGCAAAAATTTAAATAAACCAAGGATATGCAAAAGTTTTAGTCTTTTTTTTAATATTGTGGTATAACTATTTTAAATTTAAATATTTTATCTTCTTTTCATGTATTTATAAGATGTCAGATTATCTGAAACGTATTTCATATTTTGTAATTTAATGATGCACGTAATTTTACAAAATAACAGTGAACATGATGAGCGACGAAAAGTTTTATATTCAACATTACATTCGTATAAGTTCCAGCAAGAGAAAAATACTGCTAAAGTATGTGAATCAATTTGCTCTGCTTCTTCGAGGGTACTGTATCTCACAATACGAAATATTGCAAATATTAGTTTTGTCGTTTTAAAGATAATAATTTTTGAAGGTACTTTTTGTACATCTAATGGGATATGAAAGACGTGCTTTATTATGAGCTCCTTAAACTGGATGAAACTGTTAGTGTCACACTAGAGATCCTTAAGTAAGACATTGGATAGATATCATTTAGACAACTTCCGATTGGTCCATTATATTTTTCAGGACCTAAGATAGAATAAAATAGACGCATAAAATAAAATGAGGTGCATGGATATCTCATTCTATCTTATAATCCATTTCATTCTATCTTAAGCAGGTCTTGAAAAGTATCATTTTATCTCTTACTTGAGAATCTATCAAACGCTATTGTCATCAATTGAATGATTGGTCATAAAGTAGGAAAAAGGTACTCGTATTATATATAAACCCTTAAGAAAAAGTGTTTCAATATATACTGATTAACTATTCGCAGTAACTGATGATATTTCACCAGTTACTGAATAGTTAATCAGTATTGAATATATTGAAACACTTTTTCCTAAGGGAAGAAAATGATTTGATCGGAAAAATAGGATACTCATGTGCAAAGAAAAGAAAATGAAAAAAGAACTAAAATTTCTGCACACCTCTAATAATTGATGCTGTGGTGAATTACACTAAGAATACTACAGCTTATTTGATACAGGCGTGATTTGCGAATTTTACTCCACGGAAACTCAATCCATTTCCGTCTCCTTTTTCCACAATCATTAAATAGCCTCAAGGGAAGAAGTTTTTTTACGTGAACGTCATCTTATAAATGATTGACATTACGAGTCGCCCCGAGGCGGAAATGTGCGGCTACAAGAATCCACGCATTCGCGGGTGATGTAACGATCGATCTAAAGACCGTCTTAAATGATCGGTGAGGGTGTTAACAAAGTTTTTTTTTCCCTTTTAAAACCGGAAGAAGCGCATTTCGCGCCTTTTCTTTGCTCCGCGAGGAAGATAAAAGAAACCCGTAAATAGAAATACACGTCAATACTACGCGAGATGTCACGTTTATGAAAATCCCTCCCGGTATCTCGCATCAAAGTGAAATTCTAATTTCGCTCCCGCAAAGGCGAAGGACGTGTACCGTTTTTGTACTGGCGAAAAATGGACTATCGCGATAATCTTACAATCTCCGGCGGTGTGCACGACTTGAAAAGAACGGCTGGTGTCGGCGAGGTGTCGGCTAAAAAGTACGCACGGGTGGATTTTTGTGAAAACTGGAGCGCCGACGGAAGAAATTCTTGCTCAGTGTTCGGTCCTCATTGTGGCTGATCCCGCGCCGGTGCGAGAAGTTCTTGTAGCAACTCCTTGTAGCTCCTCTCTCTTTCGAATAAATAAATGAACCGCGTCCACGTTCTTGCACCTTGCTTACGTTTTCATACGAAGAAGAGTATACGTATTGGAAGATTTATCGCGAAAACCGCGGCGCAAAAAGTGGGATTAAAACAGAGTAACGAAGAATAAAAATTGCCCAGCGCGGTGATAAACGATGATCTAAGAATTTCACTTAGTGTTTAATGAAGTTAGTTTCCGTGCTGTGTCTTCATTTCAAAACCGTCCATTTATACGCGGCGTCTTCAAAAAGTTTCAATTAATTAATCATAAACAGGGAGGAGGGATGATCACTAATTTGTCGCTAAAATTAACCGGGATTACGAGACACCCTGTATGAACTTCCGCGCAGATTTATAAGCCGTGAAAGCCGGCGAAAGTCGAGTACTCTACGGCTATCATTGAGAGTGCTCCGAGCAATAGCGGCTCGGCCACTTCGGTCAATTTAACGTAATCTCGCCGACGATTGAAAGACAGATCGTGGACCAAAGAACGCGAGATCGCCGGTGAAGGAGTCATTACAACGCGAATGAAAGGCGCCTTGTATAACGTTCGTTTCGATGTGATACGGCGAATAATCGTCGGTCCATGATCCGTTAAAAGACAGATCGTTGGACAGTCGTGACGTTCGCCAGAAGGCGTGACTATGTCGAGACGATCTCAGATTAAACGTAACTCGGGTATACGAGATCGTTTATAACCTTCTAATCGATTGCAGAATGTGTATTGCAGTCACATGACGCAAATGACTTTGGAATGAGAAGTGATTAAGCCCGAGAGATATAATAGTCAGTATTAATTAAGAAAGATATAATATTGTATCATATTAATGGAGAAAGATATAATATTATATCAATATTAATGAAGAAAGATATAATGCTCTATCAATATTAATTAAGAAAGATATGATATTGTATCAATATTAATAATTAATATGATTGATATATGAAATATTTCGTGAATGGTTTTGATTTTACTTTAATGCTACTATTTATAAAATATTAATTCTATACGTGGAAATGTCAATCAATTGGTATAAAAAGACACATAACTGTGTTTTATGTAAAAAGCTTATAATTTGCAATCGGTAGTTTTATATATATATGTATATATATATTTTTTTCATTCGTGTTTTTTTTACATCGATTAATTAATTTCATTATTCTGTGCATGAAAGGGCAATCAAATTATTGAAAAATAAATATTTCATGAGATGTACTACACTTAAAGCTGAAATAAAATGAAAAAATTTAATAACTTATTAGTTTTTTTATGAGTAGTCTAATATTTTAATATGCAACGTAAAAAAATTTAATTGTATAGAATAACATGTTGTGGTTTTATTCTAAAATAAATCGATCACATTTGTACCTCATAAAAAAACTCGCGCAATAAACAGTGCAATGAAATATAATTAATATATTATTTAAGATCAAATATATTAAAATAAATATAAAAGATATCTGATTAATTATTTTTTTTTTTTACTCTGAACTGTTGTAAAATATTCATTTCTCGGTGACCCTTCAACCTAGAAATGTCGAGCAGTCATTATTGAACGTTTCTATTTTTTAGTTTTAGATTAATATTACATTTCTTATGTAAGAGAGATAGAATTCTGAATTTTTTTGCTTTTTAATAATTCTATCTTCTCATACTAATAAAATATTTGATTTCTTTATCATTTTCTTTATATCTTTCACGATAATTTATTCGTTTCGTCTTTTAGTCTAAACGCTGAAGTGCGCATTTATATACTACTATCCATCTAAATATAATCCGTAATTGGCTGTATCCTTGTACATCGAAAATTTTTGCTTGAATTAAGAAACATGTCTACGTATAACTTTTTAATTTTTCGAAAAACCTTGCCGCAGTATTTTTAGATTCGTAAATTTCGGGACATCGTGTGTTTATATTTGGACCTCTGTGTTTAGATATCAACGAGTGTGTGGTTGATAATGGCGGATGCATGGAGGTATGCGAGAACACCGACGGGAGCTTCTTCTGCGCCTGTGACGGGGACGAGAAGGCCCTGTCATCCGACGGGAAATCCTGCGTAGGTACGTGCTCCTTGACAAATCACTTTCCGTGCCTCGTTCATTTCACAGGAGACGTGAACTCCACAGTGCCAGTATGGCACGATGATCGAACGCGATGGGTGAATACGGACGGATGAACGCGATAAGTGAATACGATGTACATACTGGGTATTGCCGCGGTTCTCTTCGCCTCTTCGAACAAATTTCAACGCCTCTTCCTCGCGAGAAAAAAGTTCTCGCTCGAGAACGCCACTCCTCTTTTGTCGTAAACTTTTTAACGTTTTTTCAATTACATGTAACTTGGTAAATTTCCCGAAGAAAGAAGAAATTTACGCGTTAACGGGAAGCGTAGAACCGGCACCCGGTTAGTCGCGGTGCATCCGCAGGGGTAGTATTATGCAAAGCTGTCACGCAGGAGCGACTTCCACTAGGACGCGTCAGTCGCGATAGGTCCTTGCTCTGATGCCGCCATTGGCATCTGTAATTCCTGTCTTATGTACATACATATCGTATTTGATACGTGGAAGCGTTGCGCGGCTGACGTGGCTGACATAATACCGCGGCGATGTGGAGCGTTCCGCTTTGAGCGCTCGTACATACGTAGATTACGCCCGGAGCTCGCGAGCTTTATGAGCCATACGTGAATGCTAGGCTCGCGTTGACGCCCGCTGTTAGTTCGAGGCAGGTTCCACTTAGTGTGCGAGCCACACAATCGATATCTGCTCACCAATGAATATCCGCTTAATCGTTTATTTGTTCTCCTGGGACGAGGTAACATCGCGTTCAAAGAAAAGGAAGTGTTTTCATTTTATTCGCGTTATGTGTCGGAAATTGAAGTAACTGAGAGCGTCAGAAGTATAAATTGGATACGAATAATGAAATTTAATGTACTTAATCGCGGAATAATGTCTAGCTATATTTATAAAAGCGTCTTAATCCTTTGATGCCACTCTTAGTATGGAATTCCCCTTAGCCTGAATTCCCAATTTTAATTATTCTTTGAATATTTCTACAGGTCGCCATTATTCTTATGTTGTTAATTTAACTGAAACAATTTAACTGAAGGAAATGTATTAAATTTCGTTCATTATTTACTAAATTCTTACGTTTATTTTTTGAAGCTAGCCATAGAAATGGCTTTACATTTGAACACACATGAAAATGAAAGAATAGCAAAATGTTATTTAATTCGAGGGATTACTCCTTTTCTAACAACGCAAATTATAACTTTTTAATAATAGAAATACATTGCCTTGTTATCGTGTTATATTCCTTTATGTCTAGATTGTTTCGATTGAAAAAATGTATTATATGTTCACTTTATGCGATACGATACTCAGGGTGTTTCACTTGCGACAAAACGTACAACGTGGTATCGAAGGATTAAAGTTTTTGTGAAAAAAATTCTTCGAATTACAATTTCAAAAGTAACGAGCATTATTCTCTTTCTCGAATCGGTGATTCCTCGTTGGTGATTAAAGCTTTCGCGTCCCATATGGATTTATATCCCGGACTATAATCCATGGATGGGATTATATAAAATTTTTTATCTCGTTCATTCCAGACATAAATAGTATCGCGTGCCTGCCGTTAAATCCGGTCGATCGCGGCTATTTAATATGCTCCCGATCAGCCACATCCAAGTTGTGGCGCGACAGGCGAAAAGTGCCCAATCGACCTAGCACGAGGTGCTTCCTGAAGTGCCCCCGTGGGTATCAGCTTCGCGGTGAGTACGAGTTGACCTGTCGATCCGACGGCACCTGGGACGGACCGCAGCACGGAAAATGCGTCAGTGAGTATGGAAGTTTCTAAAAAAAGACACAGTATGTACAATTTATCGGCGTGGAATAACGATTTTCGTTACACTGTCTTTCTTCCTGCTTCTCTCGATTTCATTTAACTCAACCAGATATTTCTGAGTTCACGGTACTTTAATATTGACAGATAATTAAATTTTCAACGTAGCGATGAGTTCTTAAAAATATTTAAGTTTCATTAAACTTTTCTTTAAAACGGTTTCAAAGTTGTTTTTCAAATTGCGATCTGAAGAATTCCTTTTTTTTCTTCTTCTCGAGACAGTTGGAACTTTGAGAGACGCTCAATACTGGAAAATTTAATGACGAATATATTTAATTATGCGGGATAGAATTTTAATAATACAGGACGATTAAAACTTGACGATTTTTTCAAATGAAATAACATAATAATGTAACTTAAACATAAATTTCTTATATAACAATAAATTAATATTTAGATTACATTTTATATTGTTATTTTGAAAACCATCAGATTTTTTGGTACCTCAACCTGTAATACTCATACAAAATTTCGAGTACTCGTTTATACGGTTATCGGAAGGCATGCCTGTCCGTTTCCTTTATCAGAAATAGAAAGAATCACTAAAACATTTTTGGGCCGGGTTTTTACGGCCGCCTGAAAAATTGATGCGACATATATCGGCGATGGAATCGCCCCGTTCTTTCTCTCGCGACAGGATATAGCAAGCCCCGATTGGAGTGTCCGAAGGACGTCGTAGCCGAATTACCGCCTGGCAGGGACGAGGCATTCGTGACCTTCGATCAACCGGCGACCGATCTCGATTGGTTTCGATACGTGCGATCGAAGCCTTCCTGGGGTACGCGACTCGAAGCCAATCTGGAGCCTGGGATGCACGAGGTCACATTTTTCGCGCGACACCCGGTATCGAAGAAGCAGGCCAGCTGTGTATTACGCATTATCGTCAAAGGTAATTAATTTGCGCGGATGCGTGTTAACGACGTATTATGGCTATAAGCCCAGCTAACGATGATTCTCGTACGAGCGCTCGTGATAATCACAGTCCCCTCTACAGCAAGCAGAAATGGCAATTATTAATTCGTAATTGCCCAATCGCGATGATCCTCCCCTGTCTCGACAATGTATACATGTACCTTTTCATAGTTAATTATCACATCGCGCGATTTTTGTTCGAGGGAGGCAAAATACGATCTTCGCGGTTTTTTTTTCAACGTCCGCCGTTTCGTGCTCAATAATTTTTTAACGCTTTGAAAGGGATCGACTGCAAACGATTTACCACCGTTGAAATCGTTTAAAATCAAACACCAAATATTAGGTTCCCCGAAAACGTGATCATTCACTTAGGGTCAGTTACGCCACGGTAATCCACGATACGCCCCTGCATTAATTAATTCGGATTATAGAGATTGCACTTTGTGGAAGATAGTGCGGATAAACGTCTCTTGAATCTCACGAATCTTGATTAATAACAGATGGAGAAGGTAACGCGTAGGTCGGCTAATTCCATCGGTGGAACATATGTTAAATAAACTACAGCTCGCAGAATGGAGAGCCGTACATCATTTAACCGTCGCGAAACTTCGCAGTTTCTCAATGATTAACAGCGCGAGATTGAAATATTCCCTCCCTTGTTCCCATTTCTTGGCGCGCAAGATGATAATTCGGGATTCACGGTGGCGGCGAGGACGCTCGATGTAAACACGTCGATGTAACGCGAGTTCGCGCGGAAAAGAGGGAAGTAGCGCGCGGGTTGGCAAATTGTTACGTCGCCTCATAAACGAACGTCTTCGTATCAAAAGTTCTCCGCGTCTCGCCCGTTAAGACCAGGCGTAGAGATCCGTTAGATGCGTCTTAAGAATATTACGTCCCTCCTCGTGCACCCTCCACGCCACCCCCGACCTACCCCGACGCATCTTGTCGGGACGTGAGCGAAATACAGGCGGCAGCTCGTTGCACCGCGAGTTAAATCCTTATATGATTCCGCGTAAACTTACTTCTCGTGGCAGAAACCGGTAAATTATTACTGTACTCGTAAAAAACTTGCTACCTTCTTTTACTCATCACTGCAACGCTATTCGATTTGCGTTTCGAGCCAACGCGCGTAGCATAGAGAAATGCAATTTTCATAACGTATATGCAGAATCGGGAAGTTACTTGTAACGTCGTTATGCTGTTACAATTTTTTTTTTGTGCGAGTAATAAATAGGGAACGAAGTTACATTTTTTTACCTGTAATGTACATTTTTATAATTTAAAAGCTTTTCCGATCAACGCTGAAAACTGAAACTGGAGCCGAAATGTATATATTAATCATCAATGTTTTCTTTAATCTTTGCGACTGTATGTAATTGTCAAGATTGAATTTTATTAAAGCAGATACGCATTATTTTCTGCGTCGACTTCCAACGTTCATTTTGTTTTTGTTATTATCGTTTACATTTCCTTATTTGTGACGCAGTTACATTATTGAGATAAAAGTAATTAATGTAATCGTTACTTTTATTATTATTATTATTATTATTATTATTTTATATACTATAATAATGACACGAAAATACAAAATGTTCTAGAAAATGAGTTCGAATGTTTGGAACCATTTGTAACATTAATCTTAAATATGCAATTTTGTATAATGATTGTAGAGGAATAAAAGTACATTCTTGTTCTCTTTTTTTTCTTTATGTTCCTTTCCGTTATTTTTCTGCAGCCAACTAAAAAATGATAATTTTTTAATTATTATTGCTGTAGCAAATGAATGATATGTATAGTACATGGAAGTGCATAAACTTGTTTTCATATATTGCGAATGATAAAAACCGTTATAAATCTAGCGTTGAACTATCAATTAACGACACCTACTATAAACAATTGCATGCCATTAAAAAAAAAAAAGGTCATCGAAGTTTAGTGAAAGAGTAATAAAAACTAGCCATTGTTAATAGCCATTTGTTAATTTTTGAGTAACAGTAACAAGTTACTTTTTTAAATCAATAACTAGTAAGGAACTTTTATAACAACGAGCAACTTTTTTAGAAAAAAAAAAAAAAAGGAAATAACGGTAACGAGTTATTTTTAGAAAGTAACTTTTCCAATTCTGCATGTACGTCCGAAGTATCTTTAGAATTTGGAGCGCATAAATTTGTTAGTAAAAATGGCGGAAACAATCCGAAATCCTCGGCTGTTTACCTCCTCGAGTGAACCCTTTCGGACGATTTAACACGCCGCATTCCGGGCGTGTTCGATGCAAAGCTGCAGGTTTCGTTTAACCGGGCGGCATTCGAGGATTGCATTCGGCGTTCCGCAAATCTTATAGAAGTACAACGCTCTCATTTGCGTGCCTAAAAGTAAGTTGACGAAACTAATTTAATGCAAAACTCCGAAGCTTCATCACTGACACCAACGAGTTTTCTCAGGGAGAACGCTGGCCTGATTCCGCGGACAAGTCCGCGCTCTCAACTCGCCTCAACCATTTCTTTCTCACGAGCGGTAACGAGCGAGGGACTTGGCGCATGAATAAGCTTTTCTAGACCAGCGAGTGTACGACGCAAAAGAGAAAATATCAAATTATCCTCCCTCCTGAGAGCATAATTTTTTTTCACCCTCGTCCATTTGTTTCCCTCTTGTCCGGGTTGAAAAATATATTTACCGGGAAGGACACGCGCGCGGCAGCAGGAAAACTTGAATTAAGCTTATGTCGCACATCTTCCCCCCTCCCCCCCCCTCCCACCCCACGAGCGATAAATGAACCTCCCTCTTCACTTTTGGACCTCTTCCATTTGGCCGACTACTTTTCGCGCCCGCGAATGCGTCAAGTCACCGATTCATCATTCCACGACGATGCGGAAATCGAACTTTCCGACATCACAACGTCCACTCGATTCGAATGGACCTTGCTGGGGGGGTAGTTTTCTCATACCTCGCAATTTTCTCGACGCGGCGCGAATGGTAAAACTAGCAGCGCAAGATCCTTGTTGCTGTTACTTCATCTTGCTAATCTCCATGATGCAAGTAAACTTGGTGTGTTTTGCGCATATTTTTTGCCACACCCAATGAGAACTTGGTCTACTTATTCATCTATTTTTCAGCGGTATTATAACAATTTCAAAGTTCTGGTTATAACAATTTCAACTAAACTGCAAAATTTTATCCTTAGCTCTAGCTTTAAATTATACAATTTATAATGTGTACACCATATTTTATTGATATTAAATACATTATTTATTTAGGCCCGTCTTTTAATCATATTTTCTGTACTCTTCGTCTTTGGGAAATGAAAAAAAAAAACTTATTGATTTGTATTTCATTCACTGATCACCGCAACTTTTGCAATCTTTCACACAACACGTCGGCATAGTATTTCACTTATGTTCTTTAAAAGCTGTGGATCGGTGTATTATTCTGAAAACAGTAAATATTTACTGATGGTAACACCAGTATAAATGTAGCTAAAATCACTGATTCACTTTGAGAGAGAGAGAGAGAGAGAGAGAGTACAATTACATCTCACAATTATTTCACAGTTTACATCACTTTAGAATTTCCATCATGTGCTATCATATGACAAGTACGCGACTTATTGTAACAAAAATGCTGAAATTAAGGTCAGCGCGTTGCTGTGCGTAAACTCATTTTAATTACAAGTACACCACGTTTATTTATAGCTAATCCCAAACTTGTAGGTGGCGAGGCCCCGAAAGTTAACAATTGTCCGAGAGACATCGAGGTCGTCGGGAGGAACGGAACGGCGATCATGTGGACGGAGCCGACCTTCACGGATAACGTGAAAGTGACGCGAATCAGCAATAATGAGGTAATTAAGTATCGGATTTCCCTCTGAAATTCGTATTAATTTTGCATCCGTCGCGAAAATCCGAATAATGAGTTCGTTTTGGATGAGGCCGCAGTATCCTAGAGCGGTATCCTAATTACGGATGGATAATTGTAATTGACATTCTGATACACACGTTCTATAAACCGATGTCTGTCTATAATTATTCAATAATATCAACATTATCTGATCCGTTTGATTTCCATCTCGGATATTCGACGTGTACGGATCATAAACAAAACTGGTTGATACCTCGATAATCGATGTTTACGTATCATAAAAAAATTTGTCGTTTTAATATGTACATTTGATATACTCGTATCGGTGCAGCGAACATACACATACACACACACACACGTTGCGAGGACTTAATAATCGCTCGAATTGGGCGGAACGCGATTTTCAGCGAATCGTTAATATTTTGCAAGCGTGAAAATGCCCATTATGTGATATTATCCAGCGGAACATATCGAGATTGCTATTTTATAAAACGAGGGAAAATCCGCTGGCAGAGATACGGATGCGATAAATTAAGTTCTACAAATGAATGATCACGGATGCTTTTCTCACAATAATGTGAGAACGCCCGTTACTGCCCGTTACAATTTCCTTTACAGAATTGCGATAATCGCGGCACACCAAATGACTTGATTAATTAACGGTGATATCTAAAATTAACGCGCGATATCGGAATGTGTGTACTGTATCGCCGGCTTTAATTAGCTTGTTTGTCGACGCGCGTCAATTATTACCCGAATTGTACCATAGCTCCGCGTCATTCGTTCCCAAAACCGCGCGCTTTTTCGTGAATAATGCAAATTTTTCGTGCGTCGAGGTACGACTGAGCAAAAGCCTCGATTCTCGAGTCGCGAAAGTCGCGAGCGTAAAATTAGTTAAGCGTAATTTTCCACTGTAAACGAGAAAGAGAAAGAGAAAGAGAGGATGAGGATGAGGATTTTGGGGAATAAATCCGCCAGGAAGCGGAAATTCCCACGCTTGGCCCGTGCCAAAAATTCTCGTGCGAACTCACCCCCCCTCCCCCCGGAAGGGGGTTGATATTCAACTTGCCGGAAGTCGGTGGCGAATTTTGCACGGCAGATCTGCCCTCCTCTCCACCCCTTATCGTCGCGCTCCACCGTGGTTTGTCGTTGGCGACGATATTTTTTCGTCTTACCCTGTCGCAGAGTCCAGGTCGTCGCTTCGACATCGGCGGTCACAGGATCGAGTACGAGGCGAGCGACGACGCCGGTTGGTCGAGCAAGTGCGTCTTCGTCGTGGTCCTTCGTCAGGGATAAACGGCCGGAGGGGTGCGACGGGGAAGAATCAGGGACGCGAGAGCAAGAGGAAGGAGGAAGAGAGAAGAGAGAAGAGAGAGAGAAAGAGAGAGAAACGAACGGAGTGAAGAGGAAAGAAACAGCGCGGAAGAATAACGATAAGGTAATATAAATGGAAATGTTACGGGAATCGGGTATACACAGACGTTCCTTATGTAGGCCCCGTAATGGATTCCGTTTTGTCCGGCAGGTTACACGCGGGAAAAGTGAGAAAGAGAAATGGATATATCGTTTCGCCTGTACTGGTGCAACCCCTTTCTCAGCTCTCTTCCCCCTACTCGCGTACTCGCGTAATGAAGTTTTAAGACAGGGATGGAAGTACGTAACGATTAGCCGCTAGATTTATGCGATCGAACTCCCGTCGACTGCCACTTTTGATAGATAATAATAATGTAATGATAGTTCGTATAGTGTTGTACGAAGCATTTCATTGTAAGAAGCGAAGATCATTGTCTTGCGCAGATGGGGGAAGGAGGTGGGATTTTATTCAGATAGAAATGCGAAAGTCTCGATGGCTCGTATTAAAGTTTTCATAACAGAGTCTGGTCGCAAATGATTTTGTCAAAATCCTACAGGAGAGAAGTTATATATATTTCTTCTCTGCATATATATTGTCTCATTTTAATTACACTGTCTCCAACTGATGATTAATGTAATTTGTAATATTTCCAAGCGGAACAACGAGTCATTATGATATCAAAATGATGTCAATATGACTCCATAATGATCATTAAAAATCATTTTTCAATAATTTCCGATTCATTTTAATGTCATTTTATCGTGACTTGTTGTTTTGCTTCAGTTAGATCTCTTCTTTATTAATGAACTCTATGAATTGGTATACAAACTTATACCTGTTTCACTTCAACTTATCGCACAGTATAGTATACACTAGTTCAGAGAGTTCTCTGATAAAGAACAGGCTTATAATTTCCAGTTCCAATTTACAATCGTATTTGGAGTCCGACAAACCAAATCGACGCGCAGTTTATAGAATTGAAAAATATATTTGCAAATTTACACATAAATATTATCAACATCGAAATCCGCTTTGACTGAAAATAGGAATCTTTCTCTTATTTGCTTTCTATCATCTCATTCTATACTTTAATTAAGCTTATAGAGTGGGACAGTATAAATTAGAGTGAGATAGTAACACACACAGGGACAATATATATATATCTTTCTCTCTCATAAGATTTTGCCAAAATCGCTCATGGTCGGGCTTTGTTATAGGATCTCTAGCTCGTATAAAATTCGCGTCATACCGCTCGTGTAAAATTCCTGTAAAATTTTCGCGTGAAGCTAAGCCTCCAATTTTGTTGATCAACGGCTATATCACCATGTTGATGCAATTTTTTTATTGCGATCACGGGGAAGACGGTGCCAGCTACCAGCTACATAATAATACGTTAACAACCGCATTACGCGGGGCGAAACTCGCGTTATCGATTCCTGCCGTACGTTGAAATTAACGGGCGCCGATTACGATACGACGTCGTGCGAGCTCCCGATAAACTTCCGCGTGACATAACGTATTCCTCGCGAATATATTCCGTAGCAATTAACGCGGCTGTCTCGCATACGAGGCAAACCTACCACCCGATTTCTTGCCCGCGACAAAATTATTCCGCCGAATATATGCATTCCACTGACAAGACCAGATAATGGAAGATCAACGCGCATTGCCGCCAAAATCACACGCGTTCGCTGATGTTCCGTGCGAACTGACGCGGAATGTGGCCATGTTAAGTCGTAGAAATCATCGTGATTTTAGGAGTGATATTTAGGAATCGTACTGATAGAGAGAAAAGTATAAATAGAAAAAGAGAAAGAGGAAATCACAGCGTTTGATTTCGAGATTACGAAATTTAAAATGTCTTATGCAGTATGAATATCAAGACGCGACAAAACAAGTATGGTATTGAAATACTGTTTACACGAAAAGAATAGTTGCTAAAGTATCTAAAAATTTAACTAGGCACAAATCTGAAAACAATTTTGTTGGATTATCAAAATAATTACGTAACGATGTTCAAGCTGGTTGTTAGAATGCCAAAACTTGCAGCGTTACTCGTCACGCTTGAGTGTCGTATATTATTTTGGTAACCCAACAAAATTAGTTTCATCTGTATTCAGCTAAATTTTTAGGTACTTCAGTGAAACCATGTATAGTTCGTTATACAACTTGCAAAACCATGTATATTTCGTACAACTTTAATATTATGCTAACTTGTTACTGTTTCGCGATGCGTTTCGTTCGAGTGAAATAACTATAATTTTTAACTGATATTGTCTTTTTTTACAGTACGCGGGATTAATTAATCACATACACTTTTTCAAATATTCTTTTTTTACCATTACGAGAAACATTCACAAATTTCGATTGTTTGGCAAAAATTAGTGATTATTAGGAAATTATAATTTTTCCTTCTTTCTTTCTCCTTTGCAGCCTTGCTATATATTATATTAAATGATGAATAATAAATTCTCGAGGTACGAGAAATGAAAAGTGTAATTCCACGAAGTACAGCTGCGAGAGGTCTGTTTACAGAGTTGGCGCGTCGAATAATTAACTGCAGTCTAATTACAACGTTCTGTCACAGGCAAAATGCGTATTTGCAAGCAACAGAAATTCTGCCTTCTTAAAGCTTCCCAATTACGAAGCCGTCGTCCTCTTCTTGTCGTAAATGATTATCAGTTACCATTTACTCTCGAGACTGATACGAGAGACCCGTGTGCTTGTATGAGCTTTCATTAATACGCACTCGCGTGGAACCAACAATTGTTCACGTTTGCGTCATTGATCAATTAATAATGCTCGTTATGTAAGCTGGTAGCGATCGGCGTATTTAATAATCACGGCGCTCGTTCACGATGCGGTTCACTAAACGACGAAATATCGTAATAGTATAACGCAAAGAAGGAAGAAGAGTATTGTAAAATGAGCTCAGATCGCACATACAGGTGTAATTTTGCGTCATACTATACATATTAGATCGCATCGCATTTAAGAGGAAATACGTAGCGTTTTAAAGAAGATTATTCTTCTTTTAAATTGATTTCTCGTAGAATTCAAATAAATTCGCAATTTCACATACATAATCTTTTTTTTTTTATGTAGAGTTACATATAAAACTTAAACATTCCGGTCCAAAATTATCCCCGCCAGAGTGCGATCCAACCTCATGTCGGTAGCGTAAGAAGATAGGTAGATATTTCGTTTACTATTTATTAATATTCCTCTACCGTCACTCGCATATCATTGTTACGATAACGATCGTATATTAATATAGATGTATAAAATTTATGTACTAAATATACGTGTATACATATATATATGTACGTATGTATATTACAAAAAAATCGCCATATAATCTGCGCGAACCGTCGCGATTCGGCATGGCCGCAGGTACGTTGTTTGTTATTGTTATTACGTAACAAATGTATACCGTTATACGATTTTATTGATGTTGCTTATTAAAACAATCGCGCGCATGCCGTGTCGCGTCGGTTCGTGCGAACTCACTTATTTTATATTATCTATTCTTAAATGGTATTATTGACGATGGCAGACTTATTTCGTTGCTGATCTATATATACTTCGCTATGCGGAAATAAATCTACTGCTGCGATGTCACTGACCGAGGCACGAATTCTGAAATGTCTTAACAAAGGACGCACTGATTATAAGGAAAATTGAATTCCAATGAAATGACCCAGACAATATACATGTTCAAAATGAGACAAAAGATATCTTGAAGACATCTTAGTCCAGGTCCACAATATTGTTTTAAGAGACTGTAAGTCGTAAAGCCGCAAAAAATGACCAATCACAATTATATGAGAATATGAGAAAAATAATTGACTGTGATCAATTTCTTACAGGTTTACAGGTTTTTAAAGGTTGTGGACTTAGACTTAAGTATGTTCTGATTTTGGACTTTTTGTTGTTTGAGGAGTTTTACATATAATGGATGAACAAAAGATGTCATAAGCACAAATAATGCATAGTTTTTGATGGTGTGATAAAGGTGCTCAAAGATGCAACCCAAATACACATGTCCAAAATGGAGACATAAGATATCTAAAAGACATCTTAGACATCTTTAAAATATCTTATGATGTGATGTTTTAAAGATGTCTTATGTCCCAATTTTAGATATAGTGCTGTCTGGAAAGTTTTACATTTTTGCATGCACCGTAGCTCAAAAACTATTTATTATCGAGCCTTGACATATTTCTTGTTCACCACATTATAAGCTATAATATATGTGAAAATTAATTAATTTCACGGCAGAGCCCAATTTTCCATATAATTAATGCTCCCTTCGAAAATGATGACAATTCCGCGAACGTATGCTAATTATATTAATAGATTTCGTACATCCTTCATTTATCAAAATCGTGCAAAGAAGGTATAAAAAAAAATGGATACTTCGAAAAAAAATATACGCCACCGCTTACGAAACAAAAGTACCAGTATCGCCAGTTACAAAGTACCGTATTGCATCATTTTCTTTTAGGCTATGCTTTCCAGAGTTAATTACAGCAATCGATCTTCATACTAGTTGTGGGTACGCGCAAGAGGCTCGCAGGTGCCGATTTACACGACAGCCTTTCCTCGGGGAGACTGGCGGAGTTAACTTACGTTCGCCTATTACATGTCGTTCACGAGCCCTTACGTGCAGCATTCATGCCGAGGCGGCAATATTCTAGTCTCGACGCGGCCCGCGCCGTAATGAGTCGGTAGCGAAACTACGTGATCGGTCCTCGTGGCGCGTTGCCGATATTGCCGCTGCTGCAGCTGCTGCTCCCATTCCTGCCGGAGGGGGTGGTATTGTTGTCGGCCTGGATGTCGATCTGAGAACACACGTTTCTCTATTATCGGGTCTCGTCGACGTGTGCAATATACGCGCGTAACCAGAAATATTATTTTCAAGCCGAAGAAATGGCCTCTTTTATCTTCACGATAAATATTTTTAACGTTTCTTTATCTTTAGAAAATGGGGGGTGGGGGGGGGTCTATTTTTCAAATCTTACCGACAGCTTTTCCTTAA